ATGTACAATAATCACACAATTTAATTAAAATAGATAAAAATCATACATCGATAATAAATTATTCCGTTATAATTCACTAATTAATCCCTAGGATATACTTTGCCTCAAATCCTTAGAAGAATAAAAGAACGAAAAAGAAAGAACAGAGACGAGATTATTTGAAGTTGACTGAGGTAACAATAACAATCTTTAACGAACCTATTCCTCGTTGGCAACCTAATTGTTAACCAAATCTGTGGCGATAAGATGAAGGAGGGTAGGTAGAAATTTGAAGAGAAGACTAAGATTGTAATGACTCAAGTGTTTGTTTAGATTTCATCATAAATTGCATAAATGACTCGACTCCCCAAATGCTCGTTTACTTTATCATTTAAAATCAAAATTATTTAATCTCTTAAATTGTAAGCACAACTCTGCTCATAATTTGACTTAAATTTATATAATTATGCTCAAGCTCAAACTCAAATTTTATTCATTAATTAAGCTCAAGCTCAAATAAGTGTTGACCCAACATCTTCCATCGACATTGGCATTGACACTCCTTGCAACTAATAAAGTTGACTCTCATTGTCACAATCAATGCCCGTTCATCAAATATTTCTCACAACCCTAAGTTAGTTCCATCTAAAGCATTGTGCTAATATGCTTTTATAAGTATATGCATTCATCAACTTCTCAGATTCCAGTAGTCGACATGCTTTTTTGGAGGCAGAAAGAAACCAATAGGAATTTATACTCCTTAAAAAGAAAAATAAAGGAAAAAAAAATCTAGTTCTGGATAAAATTTCACATAAAAAGGTTATATAATGTCTTAATCTCAGATCAATTTCTTAATTCCTACAGAACGTCCATCGGAAAAGAAAGTTCCCAAAATAAAATGAAAACAAAATAAAATTAATGAAAATTGATTCAATTACAAAAAACGAAAACTATGTATACAATAAATAACACTTTCTTAAAATTTTTCTTTTTCGCTATCTTAATTCGTCTTTTAAATTCATGCAAATAAATCCTAGCAAAAAACACTTAAATTAATCAAATAATATATAAATATATAATATGCACAAAGTTAACAGTAATTCCAACTCCGAACATGGAGTGAACCACAACTTTTTACCTATCAAATTTAGCAATTCTAACTCTGAATAAGATAGAGAGTGATATTAGATAGAATCACTGTTATCAGAAGCAAAACTCTCCGGAGAAGTAAGGATATCTAGTCAAATGAGCCTTATCGAGCCTCTAAAACTCATTTGGTTAAACGAGCTTCTTATCAAGGTTCTTCTTAAGCCTTAACTAACTTATAAACAATCAGGTTGTCGAGCTCCAAAATAATGATCATTTAAGTTTTAAATGACAAATTATTGAATGAATTAGTGAACAAACATCTTAATGTGAATAAGCAAGTAGTGGAAACAAATGTTCGTTAGTAAACTCGCATCGAGCTCGAGTGGATCTTGATGTTTCAGACAAACAAGCTCGAGCTCGAGCAAGCTCAAGTTAGGCTCAGTTAAGTTTATTTGCAACCCTAATATAAATGAGTTGGATGAGTGCTTCGAATTGTGATGATCCTCTGTTTCTTTTCTTCCGATAACGACAACTCTATCTAATATCACTTCTACCTTGTTCGAAGTTGGAACTGTTGAGTTTGATAGGTAAACCGTGATTTACTCTATTCAGAGTTGGAATTGCTGTGTCATTCGGTTACCTTTGTGCACATTATGCGCTTCTTTATTATTTGATTTATTTGAGTGTTTTTGCTGGTCTTAATTTGCATGAATTTTGAAGAAGAATTGAGATAGAAAATGATAAATTTTTTAGGAAAATATTTGTGTATTTTATTCGTGGTTTTTTTTTTGTTTTTTGTTTTTTTTTTGTAATTGTATCATTTTTCACAATTTTATTCCATTTTTCATTTTACTTCATGAACTTTTTTTTTCTGATAGAAGTTCTATATAAACTATAAAACCGACCTGAGATCAAGACGCCATTCAATTTTTTTGTGTGAAATATCCAAAACTAGATTTTTCTTTATTTTTTTCAAGGAGTATAAATTCTCTCGTTTTTGTTGCTTCCAAAAGACACGATGACTGGATAGAATCTAGGAAATTGACGAATGTATATTCTTGTAACAATATCTTAACACATTTTCTTAAATAAAATGAACTTAGAATTTTATTAGCGGGAAGGAGTGTCGATGGAAGGTATTAAGTCAAAATTTGAGTTTGAGCTCAAACATAATTATACAAGTTCAAGTCAACTCATGAGTTGAGTTGTGCTTACCATTAAATAATTAAATAAACGTGCATTTGGAGAGTTAAGTCATTTATGCGATTTATGGTGAAATCTGAGCTAACTCTTAAATCATTACAATCTTACTCCCATGTTTGCCTTTCTCTCCCCTCCTTCCTCTCTTCAACTTTTGCCTCCACTCCTTTCTCCATTTCTTATCGTTACAGTTGCTGCCAACAGTTAGGTCGTCGACATGTGATAGCTTTGTTGAAGAGTTTTATTGTTACCTCAGTTATTTTCTAATAACCCCTCACCACTTTCTCCTTTCTTTTTCATTCTTTCATTCTACTCGAGATTGGAGACAAAATATGATATATGCATTAACTTTTGAATAACATAATAATTTATTTTTGATGTATGATTCTTATTTTTTAATTGAATTATACGATTGTTGTTGATTTGCTAGAGATCATGTTATCATCTTGAATGTTATTATTTGGAGATATCTTTCTATGTTTATTGATGGGGATCAACTTTCACCTAAATTTGGAATCAGTGTGATAGAATTTTTTTTCTCTAATTTATTGTTTGATGAAGAGCTTAGTGAGATTTCCCCACTTAGTGGAATAAAGGCTTGTTTTTGTTTTTGTTGTTTTGTTTGATGAAGAGTATTTGAACTAGTCTTTCATAATTTATTTTGGGGCCATCTAAATTCCATTTTAAACAAATTTATCATCGAAACAAGTGTTTCAATGAGATAAACTTAACAATTCTAAGAACTCTATCCATCGTCGACTATCGTTTATTGCCACTAAGGAAAATCTTTGTCAATATCAATAAAGTCGATAGTTGTCATTGACATTAAGACTGACATTCACTGATAATATCAAAACTAATACTCAACACCATAATTGACACCCTCCATTAATAGTAAGGTTGGTGTCCGTTATTGACATTAAGGCTAACACCCACACTCATTAATATTCAACAATAATGTTATATATCGTTGCTGACAAAATTATTGCTTGTGGATACTAACAGGACCCATAAAATAATCAGTAATATGGTCAATACTTTTCTTCACCATCAATGATAATGTTCATCATCATCACTTGTTGTCTCTAATATAATCAACACCTTTCACAGACACCAATATTAAGACTCAATGTCTGCACAAATACTGACACATTGTTCCATAACATTAACAATTATCATTGTCAATAAGACTAAAATTTATTGTTGTCGCTGACATTGATGCTCCTTGTGTTAATAAAGTTAACTCTTTTTTGGTGACAACATCAACATAAATATAATCTTGTCTTATAATGTTAACTCACAATCAATATTGTTGATGTCAATTATCGCCACCGATGTTGATGTCCACCGTCACTAATAAGGTTGATTTTTGTCGTTACTGATAATGTTGATGCTAACGATGATCAATAAGGGTGCTGCTCATTATCGACGCTAATATTGACACTCATCTTTCTGAATAAGGTTGATAGACATAATTAACCCTAATCTTAACGCTTGGCTTTACTAATAAGGTTGGCATTTATCATCAAAAATAAGGTCAATACCCAACATTGTCTCTAAATCGGACACCTATAATTGTTATCAAGGTTGATACTCTCTGTTATTGATAACATTACACTTGCTATCAACATCACCAATATGGTCAACAACTATCATCGATGTCGGTGCTTACATTAAAAAAATAATGCTCACCTTTGACATCAAATGCTGGAGCTAACATTCACTATTCTGAATCTTCTCATGTATAATGTGAATGATTGGGTATATCATTAATTGTCAACTTTAACCCTATATTTTAGTTATCGTGAATACGACTGACATGGGTTACCACCAACGAAACCAACACTTTCCATCGATTTCAACCCCACAAATTTTATCATTTTTAAAATTGATATTTTTTGTCACCAAAAATACCAATTTTTTCATTGACATATTGTTAGTAAGGTTAGTGCTTGTTATTAGCACTAATATTGATAACCAATACATATCATCGATAACATTATCAAGACTTGCATTTGCAGCTGACTATCTCTCTTTTATAACGATAGCGGCCGAGCAAACCACCAAGTATCTCTTGATTATAACTCCAGTGCCTCAAAATTCTTTCATTTTTTGTCATTGGCAACTTCCATCATTCGTGTTTATGATATTGTCAACGAGTTCTCTAGTTAAGAACACATTCTTTGTGGCATGTAAGTCATGGTAGTAGAATGGACTAAATCAAATCTTGTGATTCTTTCTATTTTTAAAATTTTTCACGTAAAAATATCTGATCATCTAAATTTTTAATTCATCTTATCTATGTTTGTGCCGGATTTTCATATAATTTTAATATTTTAAGTTCTTTCTTTATCTTTTACTCTAATACTTTGATAATACTGCTATTTTTAGAATATTAGATGATTAATTATATTTTGCTATTTGAAATATGTTATATTTAGGAACATAATACTAATTTGCATACAAATATAGTTTTGTATATTAATCATAGAGATATGATAGTTTATGGATTAACCTTTCATCTTACCCATTGTGGAAAAACCTATTTACATCTAATGAAATCATGGAATTAAAAATGATTACTGTTTCTTAAACATGATTTTTAACTCCGAACAACCAAATGAGTCCTCAGAAACGAAGTTTTGCTGAAACTGGTAACGAAACATATATTATATATATTCAAGGCTGGTCTCTCTCTATTCCCACTTTCTTACATTCACCACTTGCATCAGCTTGCCACTTCCATCGATCCATCCGGCACAGCATTCGAGTTCCTGATTTATTAACCAAGAGGGAATTCTCTTAAAGTTCCTATTGCGAGGCGCTGGTAAAAATTTCATCATCATGAGTAAGTTCTTGTTGGGAGACAATTTGTGCAAATACCCCTTAGCTAAGTGGCAGAATCATAAGCTGAATACAAGAATACATTGCACATAAAATGTAAATTTAGTGGGTGCAATCGAAATGCTAGGATTGCTGAGAACTTCCTTATCTTTTTTGAATGGAAGTATCTGTCTTCACCAATTTATTTTTCATTTTCAAAAAAGATGGAAGAAGCCAGTTGATTCAGCACAAACACGCCTGGAAAACAGGACAAGAGATCCTCAGCTTGACAAACTTCTGAAACAGATCAAAAAGTTAAAGTTGATTTTACGGTTGCATGAATTGATGTCACGAAGGACAACTTCCCACACCTCTCTTCAACTTGTTTCTCGATGGACTAATATTGTTGGGTTGAATGTGGGAATTGGAGTATTCATTCAAAAACACCCTCGTATTTTTGAGGTTTATACTCATCCTGTTAAAAGGCATCTTTGCTGTAGGATTAGCCAAGAGATGTTAAATTTGATTGAAGAGGAAGCTCTGGTCCTTAACCAATCTGAAATGGTTGCTGTGCAACGTTTAAAGAAGCTTCTTATGATGTCTAAGAATGGCAGGCTGCACGCCCATTCTTTATGGCTTGTAAGAACAGAATTTGGGTTACCTGATGATTTCAGAGCGTCAATTATCAGCAAATATCCTGAAGCTTTCAGATTAGTTCAACCTGATACTGTAGAGTTAGTTGATAAAGATGACAATCTTACTACTGCTGATATCGAGAAATGGAGGGAGAGCGAGTATAAGGAAAAATGGCTAAGTGAATATGAAACCAGGTATGCTTTCCCAATTCAATTTCCAACGGGTTTTAAGATTGAGAAGGGTGACAGAGAAAACCTTAAAACTTGGCAAAGACTGGCTTACCTTAAGCCTTATGATCATAATGAAGCCAATTGTGGTGGGATTGAGCGCTTTGAGAAACGTGCTGTCGGTATTCTTCATGAATTCTTAAGCATGACCGTGGAGAAGATGGTTGATATTGAAAGATTAGCTCACTTCAGAAAGGATTTCAATATGACCGTTAATCTTAGAGAGCTTCTTCTGAAACATCCTGGGATTTTTTACATTTCAAATAAAGGAAATTCACTGACTGTTTTTCTAAGAGGAAAATATGCCAAAAATTTTTTGTTGGAGCCTAATCCCATATATCTAGTTCGGCGAAAAATGTTGGATCTTGTTTTGTTGCAGTGCAGATTTTCTAAGAGGGAACAGCCTTTGAAGGAGCTAAACTTATGACTAGTTGAGCTGCATTGAATTTATATCTTTCTTAGGATGTTCGGAAAATTTTTATTTCTAGATTTTTAATGATGTGTGTAACTAATTAATTTGTTCTGGCTTTGAAGAAAAGTTTTATTGATTGCTGATGGGGTGTGCAAAGTAATCTATTTTACCTTTTTTTTAACATAGATATTTACATGAGCTCTAACCTATGTTGGGTAGGGTACCTTTCAAAAGATTGCTAATTGATCCAAGTTGCTGATGATTTACTGAGTATGTTGGAGCCAGCGTCTGAGCGGGTCAAATTTAGGAAAGCATTTGTATTGTTTAGCTTAGGATTTGTTTGGAATAGTTTTCTGTCTGTTTTACATTTTAGACTGCCATCACTACTCAGTTTAGGGAATTATTTTCTTTTCTAGAAATTTTTTAATGGGAAGTTTTATTCAAAATTAGCTATTAAAGTATCGTGCATGTAAGAAAATTGTAGTCTCGTTTTTTTTTTAAATAGATATATTTAGGATTCTCATTGCAGATACAATCACTCCTAACAGGCCCTTAGTTCATTAAGCAATTGAGCCAACATTTATGTTTGTTTTCGGCTTGTTAATTTATCAAGCTGAATACAAGCTACTTACAAATATAAAGTTTATTTGAAAGTCATATATGAATTATATTATATATCAATGTGAAATTAGGTTGGACGTCAGATCAGATGGAGTCATTTAAAGTTAAATGATTTCATAGGGTTGAACAGGCTGAAGATATAAATATTTAAATTATTTTAATATAATTTACATATTATTATATTATGTCAAATTAAATTGTCCTGCACTTATAGTATGTGATAATCAAATTATAATTGACGTAGTGACAAATCTTAATTTTTTATAAGAGAATCAAACGGATGGCTCCATCAAACTCATGCCAATCCAGACCTCAGCACCAACTAGCAAGCCGCTATGCATCAGACCTTTATCAATGCGGCTATAAAAAATAATTGTAGTCCATATTGAGGGGAAAGTATTACAAATTAGTTTTACCCCCACACGGCAGCAACATCAGTGGGCATTCAACCATGAAATTTAGTTTACGAATCTAGCAACTAATTTTTTTTATATTTAGATGTATGCCATTGAAAGTCTTAATAAAAAAATTAAAAAAAAAAACATTACCTTCAGTATCTATATTGATACGCCTTCAACAAGTTTCAATCATCCGGCACAAGTGTAGCGGAAGGGCACAAATCTCGATGCGAATCTTCTTGCAACAAATATTCAAATTGATAGAGAAAGTCCCAATGAAGAACCAAAGCTTCCAATATTTGATTTTGGTCTAATTATTGCGTGCGGAGAGCGCACCAGAGCTGCGTGCGCTCTCCGATCACAACCGCACATCACGGCTGTGATCGGAGATCGCACGCAGCTCTGTGTGCACTCTCCACACACAATAATCACTCTTGATTTTTGTTTCAAGTCCCAGAAGCCGAAACTTCCATGTCAAGCCAAACTGGACCTCAAACTCCATTCAGGCTGAGTTTGAAAGAAAAGACAGACAAACAACCCCAAAGACCCACACGCAATAATCACTCTTGATTTTGTTTTCAAGACCCAAGACCGCAACTTGTCATTTATTGGCTAAGACTCTTTTTGAGCCTATAAATAGGGGCCTGAAAGAGAGGGTGGAGGTGCGGCGATGCGGCGAGACAACCAGTTGCGGCAGCGTGATGGAGCACCCCGTTGCGGCAGGGCATCTCGTTGCTGCGGTGCGGCGAGACAATCCGTTGCTGCTGTGCGACGAGGCGTCGCAGTGTGGCAACCCATTGTGGCGGTGCTTGTGGCGGTGCGGCGTGGCAGCGCGGTGAGGCAAACTGTTGCGGCGTCGCAACAGGGTAACCCGTAGCGGCGGTGCGACGCGGCGGCGCGACAGGGCAACCCATGGTGGGGCAACGTGTTGCGGTGACGTTCTGCGATGGGACGACGCGTTGTAATAATGCGTTGTGATGACGTGATGCATTGCGACGATGTGTTCTGGCGTGATGACGCGTTGGGGCGATGCGTTACAATGACGCGTTACAGCGACGCGTTGGGTCGCGACAACGTGTTGTGGCAGTGCTTCAGAGCGACGTGTTGCAGCACAGCGACGTGCTGTGACAGTGTGTCGCAGCGACGTGTTGGGCGATGTATCGCAGTGGCTTGATGCATTGGATGTCCAATGTCATGTAAGAAGGTTACCATGGGAGGAAGTCTAGAGAAAATGCGGCGTCGCCTACTGAGAGGGTGCGGCGAAATCGTGCGGAAGAGAGGGGCTGAGCGGGGCTGACCTAGCGAAACTAGGGCACAAAATTGGGTATAGAGGCTAGGGCTATCAAAATTGCTCATTGTCCTCCAACACCTCTTGTTCCGCTCGTTAAAATGTGTTCGACCCGTTTTGACTTGAAATAGAACTCATTAATTACATGTATTGTTGGGTGATATTTTTAAAAAAATTAATTAATTATATGTTTACAAAGATTTATAATCAATTAAAAATATATAATAAAATTTATTAAATTATATTTAAATAATATTTTAATATAAACAATAATTTTTAAATCTTATCCCAACTCTTAACATCTTATGAATACTTAATTAGGGTTGTCAAAATGCTTCTTTATTCGTAAACAGCTCGTATTCGGCTGGCTAAGCAAACGAGCCGAACACGAACACACTTTTTGAGCTTGAAATATAAACGAGCCGAACTCTAGCTGTGCTTTGGCTCTCTCGTGTTCAGCTCGTTTACACCCCCAGAAATGGCGAAGGGTCTGTGATTTATTTTAATTTTTATTTAAATTAATTTTATTAATTTAATTGAGTAATAATTTATGATTAATAAATAGATTCTTAAATTAATAACAAAAACAAAAACATCTTTATCCCACTAATTGGGGTCAGCTCGAGTAATACTTTTTTCTCCATTGCATCCAATTGAGTGTCATATTTTCATTTAAATCTAATAAAATAAAATTATTTTTGTATGGTACGCCTATGTCTTTCTAGGTCTACCTCTTTCTTTCTTAACACAAGTCAAATCTAAAATATTCACTCTCCAAATCAGATCGTCAGATGGTCGATGTTTCATGTGACCAAACCATTTAAGACGACTCTCTCTGTTTGTTATTTGAGCTACTCTAAGCCTATCAAGAATATATTCATTTTGCATTTTGCCTCCAAGTGTCAAGCCACTCATCCAACTAGGCATTCTCATCTTGGCAACACTTGACTTTGTTTTATGATTCTCTTCTAAAGGCCAACTTTTTGCAACATAGAGCATTGCAGGTCTCACTACCATCTTATAACATTTTCTTTCAATCGAAGTGTTACTTTTCCCCATCTATATCACCATCCCTTTGAAAAATAGACCTGAGATATTTAAAGCATTCACGCTTTTTAATCATTAGATTACTCAACTTACAACTCTGCCACTAGAGCTGCTACTACTAAAATTACATTACCTGCATTTAGTTTTAGTTCTACTCAAACAAAAGCCTTTAGATTCCAATGTAGACCTCCATAATTCAAGTTTTTTTTCTGAACTTTTCTCAAGTCTTATCCACCATAAGGATATCATAACCAAAAAGCATACACCAAGGTACATCCTCTTGTAAATGTCCAACAAGAGCATCTGCAAGTAAAGCAAAAAAGTTCCGGGCTTAAAGTCCATCCTTGATGTAATCCAACTGAAAGAGGAAAACATTTGGTCAACCCTCTTGTTCGAACATAAGTAATAGCTCTATTATGTATATCTTTAAGGATTTGAATATAAGTTATATCAACTCCTTTCTTCTCTAGAACTCTCTAAAAAAATTCTCTTGAAACCTTATTTTAAGCTTTTTCTAAATAAAAAAAGTCATTTGTAGATCCTCCTTATTCTCTCTTTAGTTCTCCATCAAACTTCTCAATAAATGTATAGCTTCCATAATTGAACTGCCCCACATAAATCCAAAATGATTATGAAAAATATTTGTAACACGTCTTAATCTAAGTTCAATTATCCTCTCCCATAATTTTAAATTATGGCACATCAACGTAATTCCTCTATAATTTGCATAATATTGTGCATCCCTTTTATTCTTAAAAATTGGGACCAAATTACTCTTTTTTCACTCCTTAGACATCTTTTTAGCTCTTAAAATAATATTAAAGAGTTTAGTAAGCCGAGAAACTCGCAAATCTTCTAAATATTTCCACACTTCATTTGGGATATCATCAGATTCTACTGATTTCTCGCCCTTGGTTTTCTTTAAATCCTCCTTAATTTTTTTTACTAATGTGATAGTAAAAATAAAATATTTATTATTATTAACGATATTAAGATCACTAAGATCAATCCTATTTTAAGTGGATTTATTGAAAAGGTTAGCAAAATAGCTCACCCACCTTTATTGAATATTTTTTCTTAAAAATGAGCTTTTGATTTTAATCTTTTAGTATATAATCTATTATTAAGATCACTAAAAGTAGAATTTTTAGCATCACAAATTGTTCTCTTAGACTAGATACGGGGCAATTTATATTTTTCCTAGTTCGCTAAGCTTTTACATTTAAATCAATTTTTATAACACAACTTGTTATATTTTATCTTTTATTACACATTATTCATCCATCACCAATTATTTTTATTTATAGAAACTTATCCATTTGATTCTCCAAATGCATCTTTTGTTATTTATTTAATAGTGTTTATTACTTTATTATAAAAAAAAATGCTTCTTTATGAATATCCTAAATATTGAAATTTTGATGTTTAAAAATAAATTTATTTATGTATTTTAGGAGTCACCATCAAATTTTAAGACAGAAACTCCCTGTATTCTTTATCTTACAACTCTTCAGTTTAAAATCCAGAACTAATAATCGACGATTTTAAGAAAATAATCACTTTGAATGATCTTAAAGTCTTTATATTATTGACGATTTATTTTTCTCATGAGAAAAAAATCAATATGTTTTATTAAATTCTTTCTTATAATTAAAAAAGATTTTTATCTTTTTTTTAAATAAAGTATTAGCAATAACAAAATCACACGCCAAATCAATATCTAATATGACTCTGTCTTCTTCATTAATCTCTCCAAAATCAGAACCATCATAAATTCCTCCAATAAAAAT